AGGATAATTATTTTTTCCTGCTAATATACTGGAGAGAAGCTCCAGAAACACAGGGTAGCCAGAATTCAAAGAAGCCTAGATAGAAACACCTGCTTGACCTTAGTCCTTGAAGCTTTTGTGTCTTCATAGCTAGAACCACTCCATGTTCCCAGTAGGCTCATCCCTGGCCCAGACTCGGGAACCTCTGGGGATCCCTATGCTGCATCTAATCCCCATTCTGACATATTGACCAAGCTGGGGAGTCCCTTTCCCTTTAAGCATGACAGAACTTCCATGAGTCCAAATTCCTTTGGCCTCTTCTTAAATCTACCTTCTCCCAGCAAGGTCATCAGCTGAGAATGGAGAGGGAGGAATGCTGGGAGTGTGAAAAGAGAGAAAGTATAAGATGGCAGCTCCCTCGACAACTGGAGTGAATTGCCTAGAGAAGAGGAATAAATGGACACACACTTGAAGTGTGTGATCAGTGACATAAAGCAAGCCAAATCATGTTGCCACAGTTCTCAGGTCCAGGCAGAGTAGGTGGAGAGTTGTGTTCAGTCAGGGATGGGGACAAAAAGGCAAGGAGTTGAGGATATCCAGTGAATGACCCAAGGAAGTGATCAGATTGATGGACCATGAATCCTCATCTTAGGTCCTGAAGCAAGTGAGGTCAGAGTCGATGGCTGGGGGGTCGGTAGATGGACAGTCACTGAATGGAGGTTGTTTGGGAGCGAAATATCATTGAATCAGTAAAAACAATGAGCTGAGAGTTAAGGATAATGTCAGAGGGAAAAAATGGCTAGAATGGAGATTTTGAAGGAAGGAAGTAATTGGTATAAACAGGATCTAGGTCTGTAAGAGGATTCATAATATCCTGCCTCGAGATGTTATGAAGAGCCAGTTAGATGTTGTTGTAAAGCATGACATTGGCCATGGAGATGCCCCTCTCAGTTCTCCCTTTAGGAGCTCATAGTAGGAGCACTGTAGAATGATAACCTCCAGCTGGTGCCCCCGTGACTTTTAGGACACACTGACACCAGTCTCCTCCCAGCCCGTGACTGAGCACCACAAGGGCTATCAGCTTCTTGTAGGACCCAAAGGTCACACATCCAGAATAAAGTCTGACATATAGTAGGTGCTGAATAATTATTTTCTTTTAACACTATAATTAATGGATCCATTCATTATTGAAGGCATACCTTTTGTAAACATCTCTAAGTATCTCAGTAAAGCTTTTTGGAAAACTGTGTTGTTATTGTTGTTGTTGCTGCTGCTGCCGCTGCTGCTCTCAGTTCAGTCACCGTGGGAGAGATGTTCCCCACCTCAGCCGAGTTAGGGAAGGAACCCAGTCCCCCCTCGGTGGTCATTATAGAAATGGCACCACCTGGCTGGGGTTGTGGCTTGGTGGTAGCGCGCTTGCCTAGCAGGCGTGAGACACTGGGTTTGATCCTCAGCACCACATTAAAAAAATAAAATAAAGGTTATCGAGTTCACCTACAACTAAAACAAATATTGAAAAAAAAAAGAAAGAAAGAAATGGCACCCCTGACTTAGCTCAGGAGCCAAAAGATCTGACAGGAACAGGCAAAGAAAAGAAAATGGAGCTGAGCACCCAGAAGAGAGTGGGGTGAACTTGTGATCGTTCACTCTCCATGACATCAGCATCTCTGCGTGGTGATGGTTGAATGTAGGATTATGTAGCCGTAAACCAAGGGATGCCAGGAGCTATCAGAAGAGAGAGCAATGAAAAAGCTGCTGGGCAATTCCCCCATCAGATGCCCTCTCATCAAACCACTTCTGTTCGAATGGCAGAAATTAGACCCATGTTCATTGCCTGGCACCTGAATCAAGTTTCAGTGACTCATTTTAGAAGAGGAGGAAAGAGAGAACACAGAGAGCTCCTGTGCCCAAACACTTTCTTTTGCTTACACTCAAATGCAAAAGAGGTATCTAACCCCAAAATTGCTACAGGAAAGGTCTGGAAAAAAAGGACTTTTTATTATTTAGTTGTCAGTCTGGGATATCAGTATCTTTGATCCTAAGGGAAGAACCACTTGAAAATTAAATGAATGGACCAGGCAGCTGCAGACAAGTCTCCACTCACTCACTCATTCATTCATTCATTCATTCATTCATTCAAGGGATATTTGCTGAGCACCTATTCAGGAAAGCATGTGTTAGGTGCCTGGGATAAAATACTGACTCAAGAAGAGGCAGACCTTGCCTTATGAAGTTTGTAATATCAAAACACAGGCAAGGTGAAGAACAAATAATACAGTTAGACATGACTTCAAAAAGATCAAAGAGTTACAGGGTCTAATTCAACAACTTTAAGGAAAAGTGTGTTGGGGTGGGGGGAAAACAATAAATAAGTATTGGAGCTTAGATTCAAGCCAGATACCAGTCAGTATTCGTAATCACCAGCATCTCTGGAATCCAAACACACATTGACTATAACAGGATCCTTTGAGAGTTGAAGAGGCCTCTGTATAAACTGAGTAATATTTTTCCACATTAGTCATCATCCATTATTGTTTAATTTATAACTTAGATTTGACTCATGGATTTTTTTGAAGAGAGCCCTGCCACAGTCCATGGAAGCCAGAACCTAATGAACGGCTGAGTTAAGCAAATGAGGTTTTTATCCATCACAGGTGAAAGTCACTGTTTTCTACAAAAGAGAAATCGTCTATTTATATTCAGTAGCCTAAACTAATACTTAAATTCATACACATGAAAATTCAGTTCATATCCTTTAATTCCTTCCTAGGTTGAACTGTCTATAACTGAATGCAGCTTTAAAATCTCGATGCTTAAATAGTTGGTCAACTACCAATCAGAAAAATTGAATTGTTTAAGAGAAGAAAAGTGGTAAGAAATGTAGAACAGAATGGTGTCCTGGAGGTTAGCTGATTCAACTCCTTCCCCTTAGCCTGGACACACACACACACACACACACACACACACACACACACATTTAAATTAAGATCCGGTACAAATAGGTGATAACATCTATCACTTGACATTTATTTGGCAAATAAAATCTGATAGATTTTTTTATCTCCTACCTGTTCTGGGCCTTAATCTACACTTTAGAAATATGGACTACAATCATGTTTCTTGACAACACAAGGGTGAAAAGATGAGACACTATATCCCTCAGATCTGTTCCCTTCTCTCCTTTTTTCCTAGCATCAGGGTCAGACCCTTCAAACCTCTTGCCTCCTTACAAGTATCTCCCAATCTATACTAGCACTGCTAGAAGACTTGTAAAACTTGGTTCTGAATTCTCCCTCTGCTAAAAAAAATTAAATGTCTCCCCATGACTTAGAAAATAACAAAATGTTTAGCTCAACATTCAAATCCCTCAATTCTCTGATTTTGCCTCCCTCTCCCCTTCTTGTTTTTTTTTCACTGTTACCCTTAATCCAACCAACTCAGCATCTCCCTCTTCTGCATGCACATGTCCTGAGAGCTGTCTAGCCTCAACTCCTTTACCCACACTGGTCCTTCTCTCCTCAGTCTCCACCCTGGTCATCCAAATCAAATTTCATTCAAGGCCTTGCTTAAGTGCTAAGGAAACCTTTCCAGGCTAGAAAGCTTCTCAACTAGAAGTAATTCTCTCTCAGCTCTTCTCTTTCACATTCTGTTTTAACTATATATGGGTTATCTCTTTCCACTAGATGATAAACTTCATAGAGAAGCAATATGTTCAACTCTTCTCTTCACTGCCACCTTGGTACCTTGCCCTTCAATATTTGTTAAACCAATACATCAATGGATGTGTAAGAACAATGCATCTTTAAAAGGTATGTTTTTAAAAGCTCTACTGGTGATGTAATTCTACTTCTAGATTTTGTTTTGTTTTGTGTGTGTTTAGTAACACAGAACAGGGATTTTTTTAATTTTCAGTTTTTGACCAAGAGGAGAAAACATAATGACTATGGAAAGACAGCTTTTAAAAAAATAATTTTCGATACTTCAATTAGCTTATTTATATCACTATCACAGATGCAGAATAGTCTGAACACTCTGATTCCAATCTCTGTTCTAAAATACTTTCAAAAGTCTTTAAACTTATTCCAACCAATCACAGAATGATAAGATTTTGAGAAGTCACCTCATCTCATTTGCCCTCCTCCCCCAACTCAGACATAAAGTCCTTAAGGAAAATAAGAACATATTCTATTTTAAGGTTCTCCTAAGACAAATTGCTCAGAATTTCTAGAAACTCATCTCAATATTTCTTGATCCTCTCTGTCACAGTATTACTACATAATAAGTTAAACTGAGTTACATGTGCTATTGTTTCTTTTCATCTCTTGAAAAGTAGTGCAATATAGATATTAAGATGCATGGCTTGCTTGCACATGCAAGGACCTGAGTTTAACTTCTGCCATTGCAAAAAGAAAAAGTCACATGACTTCTGAAGTCAGATTTCCTATCCATCTCTGGGAAAGTTATTTAACTTCTCTCTATCTCAGTTTCCTCATCTGTAAAAACAGAAATAATAATAGTACTTATATCAGAGGGTTTTATAAAAAAATTAATGAAATCATACGAAAAGCATTTAGAACAGAATCTGGAACCCAGTAAATGATATATAAAAATTGCCATTGAAAATGCTTCTTATTTTATTTTGAATAGTGACAGATAATTGGATAATGGTAGCTGGAATCTAGTCTATTTCACCTGAAATTTTTGAATAAATAAATATTTCTGTAATGAATAAACTCAGCTCCTCTGTGTTATTTTTTTAATCAGACTAATTTTTCAGTATTTTCAAAAGGCTTCCTTTAACATCTCATCTTAATGCAGTAAAGAGAAAATTTTTAGTATTTTGGTATTACAAAACAGATTTTTGAACCAAGACTCCAAAATACCCATCTATTAATGCCATTCTTCATGCTAGGCATGATGGACATATAACGTTGCATAAGGCAGATAAGAGCCTACCTTCCTGGGGTATACCAATGTTTAGTTGCATAAACAAACTCTTTACCATTAATCAAATCACTTACCACTCTTCCGAATTCTTTCTTCCAATAGGTCAGCATGTCCAGCTGGCAGTTTCTTATTGAAAATCTCAGCTGACCGGAGGAACATAGCTTCAACCGCAGACCCTTTTAGCAAAGCAATTTGGTCTTCATGGTCCAAAGTCTGAAATCCTGAGTATAGATGATAATCAAATCAGAATCAAGGAGTTGTTTGTATAATATTTCACATTTTATATGTATATTAAGATTTTATCACCACCACCATCACTGTTGATAAAACATTTCTATAAAACAATTTTATAATTGTTTTGTGATTGGATATTTAGCTTGAGTCCACTGAGTATTTTTTGTACTCCCCAAAATAGAAGCTGACTTTTATCTTCATTAAGTAGGATTTATTGGACAAGTTAAGCAAAAAAAAATTGTCAAGACCATGCCATATACCTGGCTGAGACAGACCAATTCAAATGAGGCAACCCTAAGAAACAAGAGATTGGCAGATTATCTTTGAGTCATTAGTTTAGTTGTGCAGAGTCAACTCTGAAGAATGAAAGCATCCACAGCTAGAAAAAAATGTTAATGCATATCCACAATATTCAGACACTTCATGGGTCTTTAGTCAAAATTTAGAGAACGAGTAGCATTCCTCCACCAAAATTCTATCAGAGTCAAATTTAGGTATCTTCTCTGAGTTTAAGACTTTTCATAAAAAGTAGAGGAAAAAAGACAAATATAGGAACAAATCACCAGCATGAAGGCATATAAAACCACCTGGAAAATGCAAAGTCCTTATCCAGGCATGTGTGTAAAGTCCCAACACCCTTGATGACCTCATTCTCTTCTTCTTCCTTCATTCTTTGTGCATCAGCCACACTGACAACCTGGTTCTGCTATGAACCCATGAGCCTGCATTTGCTGGGGGATGAATGCTCTTCTCTGATATATCCATGCTCTACTTCCTCAGTGCCATCAGATCTCTGTTTTAAGGGTACCCTACTAAAATAGTCTCCCCCAGCACTCACTAATCCCTACCCAGTTTATATCTGTTCATAGAACTTACCACCACCCGACATGATATTATAGGTTTATTTGCTTATTTGTTCATTGTCTGCCATGTCTATTGGAGTATAAACTTCTCTGGGCACATATTTTTGTCTGTTTTATTACTGTTGTGTCCACAATGACTGGCACATCATAGGTACCTGAAAATTATTTGTTGGATAATTGAATGATTGAATCAAAGAGGGAAAAACACAAATTTGTGTGCATGCTGGTACACACACACACATACACACACACATACACACACGTGCACACACACATTAATAGAGGTAATTAATACCATTAGGATCTACATGGCTTAGGAAGGAATTAAACTGCAATCAAAATTTAAAGAAGACAGCAATGCTAATGATTAAGAGTCATTATCCTGCCACGTACACTGTAATTCCAGTGATTTGGGAGGCTAAGGCAGAAAGATTAGAAGTTTAAGGTCAGTCTGACCAATTTAGTGAGACCCTGATTCAAAATAAAAATTAAGAGGACTGGTGATGTAGCTCAGTGATAGAGCACCCCTGGACTGTTCAATCCCACATACCACCAAAAAAAAAAAAAACCAAACAAAAAAAAACCATGCCATTATTATCTTTGAGTATCCAAGAGCTCCTTTGAGAGGAGGAGCCATGCTCTACTCCCCTCTGGATCTCCAGCACCCTGGACAGAGCCTGACACAGGCTCTGCTCAGGGAACTAAAGGGAAACACTCAACTGGAATCTTCTGAAAATACCCTTTTCGATGTTATATTGTTGAATATAATAACATTGTAATTTCTGCAATTGTTTTTAAATAATTTTTCCTTCTTGAGGGTTTATTTTTTTGCATTATATTTTCTCCTGTATTTGCATTGTTTTCCTTCTGCTTTACTCATTGAATATACTTTAAATGTACTCTCCCTCAGGAACTAGGCTAGGCACTGAGAATTTTGAAGAAATGTTAACATATAGCCATTGCTTTCACGTAAGCTACCTTTGTATGAATAAGATTTCTTTGTCTTCAATTATTTCTTGATTCAAGATCAAACTGACCATTTGAACTGAACAATCCTTTCCCATAAATAACCAAAAATATCGCATTTCTTTCCTTTTCTCAGCTCCTCCCAGCACACACAGTTTTCTCTTTTATGTAATCCTGTTTTTTGATCAAGATTGCCTTTGAATTCATTAGCTATAGCAAATTAAGTTTATCTTTCATTGCTAACAAAGAAATGAGAGAATATAAATGTTTCAATGATAGCAAGAACTTTCTCCCCACATTTTATTAGTTTTATGTAGACTTCTGCCTGTGACACATTTAATAAAATAATAGCATAATGCTGACAAAAAGAAGGCAAATTAACATACCAAATTAAAATCTTATGACAGAACAGCAGTAATTTACATTACAGAGTTTTGCAAGGTATCTATTGTACTCTTTAAAACCAGGGATTCTGATACACTAAAAATTTTTTCTTAATTTAAAACACTGGAACAATTTCAACTGATTAGATTAGAGGGCACTGATAATGCAGCAGAAAGAATTTTAGGCTAGAAGATAAGACTCCTGCATTCTAGTTTCTGTGCTGGCATCACAGACAGGACTGTTGATAGCCTTTACCTAACACGTACACTGTTCACCAAGTCCTGTCATTTTGCATCTGTCTTCATTTTGTTCCTCTTCCCTCTCCCACTGTTATTGCTTTATTTCAAACCCTCTTGACAGGTCTTGTGCAATAGCCTACTAGCTGGTCCTCTCAGCTCCCATCCCTTCCTATTCAAATCCATCTTTTATGACCCTGATAAAACCACCTTCGTACAAGAAAAATTTTATCATTTCCCTCTCTTCAAAATGAGAAGCCATCAAAATGTCTTCATCACCCAGGGGGGACAAGGATTAAATTCCTTAGTTAGGTCCTTGTCATCTGTACTAACTTGCTTTACTGTCAAATGAAGGAGTCCATCACAGACATCATGCTATTGTCACACTGAATTTTCTCTCCCATCTCTAACAATCGTGTTCTTGTTATTGCCTCATTACCTTCTCATAAGATCTCTCAACTTGGAAAGCTCCTCTCCATGCCAACTGAAGACCTCCTTTGTTTTCTATTCAACACAAATATAATTCTCTCTGAAGTCTCCCTGTCTTTCTCAGACACAATGAGTAACTATTCCCTCTCTGTTCTAACAGCTCATTTTGTGTGTATGTGTGTATGCGCGCATGTTTTAATAGCCTGTAACCACTTTTCTTGAAGGTAATAGCTAAGCAGCTAAGCATTTAGATACTTACAGAGTAAGTATCAACAATTACTTATTGGATGAATAAGTGGATGAATGACAACTTTACAAAGTCCCAATTTCTATTGATTTGGAAGAATCTTTATAAGTGATATTAAATATCCTTTATAACTCTAACTTTTCATGTCTATAATGGTTATATACGAATAGGATGTGAGATGATTCTCATTACACAATGAACATATCTGCCCCACTCAGTGTCACAAGAATATTATACAACATAGCAGAGAAGTGACTACATGTAAAGGTACCTGCCAACAGTAGTGATAAAAGATCTGATCCCACAGGAATGTTTGAGACTCAAAAAAAAAAAAACCCAACCCATTATATGTAAAGTGATCAATATAATCTGTGGCAAATAAACACTCAATAAATATTAACTTTTATTATTTAAAAAATACTACCTGGAAGTTTTTTTGTGAATTCTACAAGAATCTGTACATGAGTGGTAGCCATTTCTGTTAAAATGAGAAAATTTTCTTCTGCACTGAATTCTTCCTTTAACTAAATTTTAAGAAAAAAGCAAATGATTAATAAATAGATAGAAAAAAAGGATAAATCAATATAAAATCATTAGACTAAAGGAAAACAAAATTGAGATAATAAAATTTTAAAACCCAACCCGTATTTCTCAGATCTTTGGAGAGCAATTACTATTAACAAGATAGATGTGTGACTTCTTCCTTTTTAATTGCTTAATGCTGCTAAAAGTTTAAATATAGAACTTAAATTTTTAGTTTGAATTATTTCAAGTAACAGACCCATATAAAAATTTCACATCCAAGGTAATAAAAGCTCCAGAAAACATTAACTTTAAAGAAATATATTTTCAAATATTGTACATACAATTTTATTTGTGATTTCCTGAGGCATCCTCTGTTTGCTATATGAATCCATAATATAATGTAGAAGATTCTGTTGATCTGGGGTGAGTTCATTTTTCTCCTACACTGGCAAGAAAATAAAAGGTGTTAGGGAGGGCGGTTATAAGTCATTGTTACTATATGTGCATTCACTTGGAGTAAACTGATAGCAAACTATTGAGAAATGCCCTAAGTACAGCAGGAACTATGAAGCTTAATATAGTGTGTAATTAAGAGCTTTTTGTGGGTCTTGGGGCAGGCAATATCATTCTTCCTTACATTTGTTTCAAGTTACTCTTTCTCCTATCTAGAAAATATGTATAACAAAATATGCTTTTCATGTATTTCTTAAGAATAACTAATAGTGTGCACATGAAAACCTATTAAGCCCCTTCACATTGAAGGTCAGGAGAAGTTCAAGGTTTAATCAAAAGTAAGAAAATGTTCCTGCATGTAAAATGGAGACTCCAGCTAAGCATATTATTCTATATGCAGAGGTTGACAAACTGGCTCATGGACCAAACTACCTACTTTGGTAAATAAAGTTTTATTGAAACATGGCCACGCTGTTTTGTTGGTATATTGTCTATGCTGGTTTTGCACTAAAATGGAAGAGTCGAATAGTTGTGATAGAGACCATGTGACAAAATCCTCAAATAATCTGGCACTTATCAGGGGGGGAAAGGTTTGCTGAGCCCCAAAACAGAGAGTTGTCAATCAGGACAATTCAGATCTCAAACATTTCTTTCCCTCCTGATAGCATCTTTTAAGGAATATGAATAATTATGTCAACTCTTTGTTTCCTTATACCAAAAAGTGTTGCTGATGAAACACTAGGGAAGAATAATATTTTGGGGGGCTGGGGTTGTGGCTCAGAGGTTGAGCGCTCACCTAGCACGCGTGAGGCACTGGGTTCAATCCTCATTACCACATAAAAATAAAATATTGATATTGTTTCCACCTATAACTAAAAAATAAATATTTAAAAAATTTTTTAAAAGAATAATATTTTTCTATAAAATTATTTTTTTCCAAAATGAACACAAGATAATATATTTTAAAAAAGTAAAAATGGACGAAATTGGGGCTGGGGTTGTGGCTCAGCGGTAGAGCGCTCTCCTTGCACATGCAAGACCCTGGGTTCGATCCTTAGCACCTCATAAGAATACATGAATAAAATAAAGGTATTGTGTCCAAGTACAACTAAAAAAATTTTAAAAAATGGACGAAATTCTCTTCGGCCCTTTTCAGGATAAAAACTTTCACTTTTCACCTTATACATTGCTGTTATTTGAATTTTTTCAACAAAGCATGTATTTTTCTCTTGATTAAAAACAAAAGAAGGGATCCATTTTCATGCAAAATGGAAATGGGAATTCTGCTGTGGCTATGGCTCTAATCTGAGTCTCCCAGCCAGATCACTAGGCTCCTGCTGGCTTTGGCAGACACCACTGCATGTTATTACCCTGCATGACTTAGTCGTTGAGGTCACTTGTCGCAAGTCCCGTCCTTCACTGTCCTCATTAATGGTCTGATCTGCATACTGCTTCACATTTTTTCTCAGTCGTTTAGATTTACACTGAATTTCAGTTAACAAGCCTGAAAAAAAAAATGAACGTAGGGACTTTATCAATCACAGAAAGTTCTGTTAGGTGTGTGGTCATGAAATAGTTGCATGGTTGGCTCAGACAATCTGTGCAACTTGGCAAGAAACTAATTCCAGCTCTTCAGATATTTAAAAAGAGAAGGCTGAGATTTAAAGACTTGACCTTGAATAAGAAGTTTAACCTCTGTGAATCTCAATTTCTTCATCTGTAAAATGCAAATAATATCTACCTCGGATTTTTTTATAGATTAAGTGTAATCAAATCATTTTTTAATGATGGCTTTTATATAAAGAATTTGTGATATTAAAGCATTATATACAATGCAAGACGATCAATAAAAAGGTGAATGACAATCTCCCTATTCCTAATCTAGGGGATCTGGAAAGCCCTTAATTCAAAACATAAGATTAATATTATTTTGGTACATGTTATATACTATGCCATAACAGTATATTTGTTTTCACATTTAAACTTGTTGAGTAAAACAAATATTAACATCCTTTAGGAAAACAAAATCATCAATTTCTATAGCTATATAAATTATTGAAATTATAGTTAAATATTAAAATAACTCAAGAAATGCTATAGTTTGGGTGTTAAATGTCCCCAGAAGACCCAGGTGTTAAAGGCTGGGTCTCTAGTATGTGCCCTTGGGAGGCAGTGGAACCTTAGGAAGTGGGGCCTAGAGGAAGGTCCTTAGGGTATTGAGAGTGTGCCGTCAAGGGGGCTTGTGGGGCCCTTTCCTCCCTTTCTCTCTTTTGATTTCTGGTCACGAGGTGAGCAATTTCCTCCACCTGCCTCTCCACCGCTGCCATTGGGTACCCCCACCAGAGGCCTAAAAGCAATGAGTCCCACAGATCATGAACTGGAACCTCCAAAACTGTGACCCCAAATAAGCCTTTTCTCTTTAGAAGTTAAATGATCTCAAGTATTTTTTATTGTGATGGAAATCTATCAAGCAAGATGCCTGAAAAAAAAAATTGTTTTAAATGCTCATACAATATCATCACTGATTTACACTGAAACAAAGCTCTAAAAAAATAATGTAGAACAATCTTCCATGTTCACACTTAAGTTTATTTACTCTTCTCTCAGTGTTAATGAAAATGAAGTTCCAGAATGTTCTTTGTGCAGGAAATTTATTTTATAGATTTATGAAATATCTATATCTGTTACTGAAAAAAAGTTTGTGTTCATAAATGTTATTATAGACTTTTATAGAGGGACTCATGCAAAATGTCTTTGTAGCTTCAACTGGAACAAGTTCATATTTAAGTGATGAGCAACATGAACCACGCAGTATCAAACTATTTCCATTGCAAGATTGGGTTCCAGCAGCAGCCCCTGTTCAGGATCTTGTTTCATGTATGCTAAAATAAGATTGGCATCAGCCACTATAAAACTTTCATCCACCTAGAGCTGGATTATTTACACAGACCTATTTTCCCTTCTCCTGCATACATTATTTTTCTGGGTCCATCCCAGTTGCCTGTACTAACTGGGAACAATAGAACTGGAGTCACCTTCCGCAGGCTTTTATTTCATGTGGCATTCCCTCCCTGAATGCCATCGTCCCCTTGGTGACATTTGTTTGTCTATTTGTGTTTTGAGGAGGAACAGGACATATCTCAGAATCTGAGTGCTCTGTAGCATTTGCAGAATGAAAAATTAATTATGTTATATACTAACATGCATTCCAGTTTTTGATGAAGATCGCGGTCCCTCACAAAGCCAGCAGTTAATACAGTGTCTCTTTATCAGATTGAAGGACAAAATTATATTAAAACTCAGGGTAGTTAATTTCCTGTGTAAACCTATACAAATTGGTTCAAAGCTGCACTAGGAGAAAATGGATTCTTAATAAAATGACTTGGTTTAAAACTCTATTTAGACCATTCAGAGGTGGCTATATCCTATGAATCATTCTTACTTTTTTCCCCACACCTATACATTTTATGTTAATTAAGTAATAAAGAAGGAGTTGATTAAAATCAAATTTGGAGGAGACTTTCAGACTGTCATTCTTTGTAGCATATTAAAGCATGTCATTTTAACTGCATGTTAAAGACACTTCACTCCATGTATAGTTCCTTACAACAAAGAACAACAAACAACAGTCATTTCTTTCAGGTGAACAAGATGCTCTTTAGATGAAAGTTTGGACAATTTCAGTGGTTCATGACCCTTTTCAAGCAGATCCCCTCTTTAATATGTGAAGTATCATTCTTGCGATATGATTTTTACCTGGCATCTGCCTCCTTAAGAGATTTTTAGTGGAATTTAATTGCTTGAAGTGAATACCTGTATACATACATTCAGCCAACATTCCCATCTCTTTGCACTTCCTTAGCCGACATTCCTGGCACTTCCTTCGCATGTACATATCCATCACACAGTTGCCCCCGTTTTTACACTTGTACACAGCATTTTTGGTAATGCTTCTCCTGAAGAAACCTGTGGAAGAAACACTGAAGAATGACAAAAGGCCCCTAACCACTCAGGAAAACACATCTGGAGCCAGAGATGCCAGAATGTTTTCTCATGAGCTGCTGGAGAGCCAGCACCCAGGCACTCCTTGAGTACCCCTATAACAAAAGGTACTTTCAATTACACCGTGTTAAGAAGGTTGCTGTTTTTTAATTTACCTCTCAAAAAAAAAAACCCAAATTTGAATTATAGTCTCTCTTAGAAAACTATCAGTTCGTATGGCACGATAAACTGCTTTCATAGATCTTTATCGAGGGGCAATTTTATGCCAGCGAGTGTTGGTACTTGTGCTCTCTAAGCAAAAAATTCATCCCTCAATTCCAAGAGTGTAAAGGTTGACTGAAAGCAAAGACATACCCACAATTAAACACACGAAATTATGCACTGCACAGGTTCTACCTGGAGGCTATGCTGGGGCCCAGCAGACACAGAGAATGGTCAGTCTTGGATAGAGAAGTCAGGACAGGAAGAGAGCAATGATCCAAGTCTGGGAAAGTGTTTTGGTGTTTATCAAGCAGTTAGGGAGAAAGTTGCATTCATGTTACTACATTGCCAATCTGTCATAATAATAAAAATGCCAACCTTGATTTAAAAGCAAACGTCTCCCCTGAGAAACTGGAGCACAGCTTCAGCCTGTTACGGTTAAGATGGGTAGAGTCAGAAAAGGAGTGTGACTAGCTTCATCTCTTGCTTCTCCTTTTCCTCATGTCCCACTTCTCCTATTCTCCTCTATCTGGTTAACTACAGTTTCTGACACCTCCAGTGTTGGGGGGATTGGTGAAGAGAGAGAAGATTGTGGGAGGCAAGGGAGAAGTGACAGGAAAATGCTTAATTGCTTGGTGCACAGTCCTGTACTCTTATCCACAGTTTCACTTCCTGAGGTTTTGGTTACCCGTGATCAACCATAGTCTGAAAGTATTAGTGGAAAATTTCAGAAATAAACAACTCACAAGTTTCAGACCGCATGCTGTTCTGAGTGGTGTGATGAAATCTTGAAGTTTCATTTCATGCCATTCAGTATGTGACTCAGCCCTTGGCTATCATATCCACCCTATATACTACCCCCACCCAGTGGCATTTGAGAAAGAGACTACATTCACTTAACTTTTATTACAGGATATTGTTACAATTGTTATATTTTATTATTAGTTATTGTTGGCAATACCTTCCTATGCCCGATTTTTAAATTGAACTTTACCACAGGCATGTTATGTAGAGTGCACATAGAGTCTGGTACTATCCATGTTTTCAGGCATCTATTGGAGGGACGTGGAACATATATCATCTGTGGAGAGTGAGAAGTACTGTAGTGTCATAAGCTGGTTATCCTTAACAAGTTTTAAAGTTGATTCTTCTTCCTTGGGTTGGGTTCTCTAAAGAGCTCCTTCTGTCATTGGGATACTTTCTTCGGTACTTCCTTGATCAGAGCAAATAAGTTTCTATTCTGTCCCACGGCTTGTATTCCCTTCTCCAGCATCTAGCAATTTGGCAGTTCACTCCACACTGGTTATACTGAGGCCTAACTCTGTGGTACTCTTGGCTTGGACTTATGATAATCTAATGCTGACTTTCTCTGACCCAACAAACTCTATGGAACAGATAAATCTCTCCCACTTATCCATAATGGTCAGCCACCTGCCTTTCGATTTCTCAGGTAAATGATAGACACCAACCCTTACATCCCTCAGTTTCAGGAGGGATGCAACAATATTCTCAAATGATCCTGTTGTAGATACTTTCTCTGGGCCTAGGGAAGCAGGATGTCTTTATGTATATATTTTGTCGAGGAAGGGACACATTTTTCTAATTCTCACAAAGGTACTATACATACCAGTTGTGGCACCTTTGCTATGGGGATGAAAGATTCATAGAACACTAATTGCATGCTTCAAAATATTTTAAGAGGGGCTGTGGATGTGGCTCAAGTGGTAGCGCGCTCACCTGGCATGCGCGGGGTGCTGGGTTTGATCCTCAGCACCACATAAAAATAAAATAAAGATGTTGTGTCCACTGAAAACTAAAAAATAAATATTAAAAAATTATCTCTCTCTGTCTTAAAAAAATATTATAAGACCTTTCTATAATTTCCAACTGCTGATTTATTTTTATCCTCAAAATAAGTGAGATGTTTAACTGGTCCTTGAATATCCACTGTGAAATTTCTACAAGATGGACTCGCTATTGAATGTAGCAACCAGTGTCTTCATGTCATAACTGAGACAAGAGTACCTCATATTTTAGCAGACTGTTAGAATAATTTCTAACCATTATTAAGTATTTACTAGCTATTGTTCTGGCCACTTTACCTCCATTTCGGTATTTAATTTTTATATAAATTTTATGATGAAGCTGATATTACATCCTCCCCTATTATAAATGAAGGAAAAAAGGTACAAAGAAGTTAATAAATTCCTTGGTCATGATCACGTTTAATGAGTGGACTGGGAGGGTTCAAACCCAGGAAGTCATACTCTAAAGTTCATACTGCTAACAAGTCTTCTAAGATTGCCTCCCTTGGGTCATAAGAGAAAGTTAACACATGCTCTGACCTGGGAGATAACAAGATGAATAAGACATTGCTATCTTCAGATTCCAACTTAGTGGGATGATGAAGAAGTAAATTCACAGCATAATACAAGATAGACTGATTAGATAACCAATTAAATAATAAATTATTGACCTATGGAAGCAAAAGTGATTATTTCAGTGGCATGACTTATGCTTGTAAAGGTTGTGTCGTGTTTAGGGAAGAGGGGCAGCAATTACATTGCAAATTACATAGAAATTTGCATATTTATCATGACAATTTTTCAGAAGCAGGCAAAAAAATTGCTATGATAAAGTAAGTATAATATGATGATTTCCCAAGACTGAAAAATAAGTGTCGGGAGGAAAAGGCATTACATGGGCTTAAAGTGACCCTAATTAATTCCAAGTAGGGGGAAATCAGAGAAGTAGGGATTTGAGAAAGGCCTTGGAGAATAAGTGGGACTTTGAAACATGGACCAAGGGGGAGAAAAGACATTGTGGGAAATGGGCAAAGTAAGGGTGTTTCAGAAATTCCAAGGAACTTGGAACATGGTAGAAGGGTAGAGTGTGGAGGCACTAGAGAGAGATAGTTAGAGGATGTAAGGGGAAAGAATGTGATTAAATTCTCTTAAAGGCCAAGCAAAGGAGTTGAGTCTTCACCGAATAGAGAGCAGTCATTAAAGAGATGGACAGGGAGGTATAACCTAACCTGCAAGCAGGGAAGAATCCCTGAAGCTAGAAAGCTTGGAGAGAGGAGACTAGGAAGTCAGGATGACTACCATCATGAGCTAAGAGGTGATAGATGCCTGAACTGGATTGGGAGAGGATAGAAAGCAGGACACGGAGAGAACACTCTAGACTTTGGTAACTTACTATGAAAACAGAGGCTGAAGAAAAGTTAGACATGTCAAGGTTAAAAAAGTCATAGACTTGCTTGTGAATTTGTCAGCTGGTGTAAATTTCAGTAGGAGAGAGGTATAACGTTTTCTTAAATGTCAAATCCAGCCAAATAAAGTCTAAAAAAAGACTGTGCTTCAGATCAGGATTGATACTGACAGTACAAATACCAAAGAATGCATTTTAAAAGAGGCTGAAAAAAGAGACCCATTTTCCCTTGTATCAAATCATGAGCTCAGTGAACAACCTAACCTTCATGATTCAGTCTTCGTCGTACTAAACTTCAGCTCCTCCCAGGAATGATTCCCTTTAAAACTGTCATAGATACTGATAGACAGCTCAATAGTTAACAGAACAAAACTCCTTATTCCAAGATGAGTCAAAGGAATGGTGCATAGAACAATTCTGCAGGGGTTTTTGTGTGTATGTGTGTTTTTTTTTTTTAACTCTGGTATTAACTGAGAAAGAAATCATTATCATCTCAATAGCCGAATTAATTAGCTTTCATTCTGAGATGGCAACACAATATTATCATTATATCATTTAAATATGGATACATATACTGTATTTATACTTATGCAAATCTAGCCACACTCATACCGCTGCCTCTATCTTGCTCTTTCTTGTGCATATTCAACAATGCTCATATCAGAAAACTCATTTGGAAATGAATGGAAAGGAAATTCACAGAAGAACAGAGCCTTCCTGATAATAAAAGAGGAGTAGACATGGTTGGCTTTGCCATCTGGGGAATGTGTAGCACTAGGGGAATCCCTGGGGTAGCAGAATAACTACAGGATGGTGCTTTCACTGGGATCCCTTAATTCTACAGATTTAGACCCCTGCTTTTCTGGGAGCACACAGACCACACTCTACTCCCAAGTCATGCAAATATATGTGTACATACACACACACATGCCAGCCACCAGTGATTGACACCAGTAGTCACTGGTACTTAAGCTACCCATTACTTTGAACTTAGTAAAATATTGTTTAATGTTTCAAAACTTCAAGGTCTGTAAGCATTTGAAACAAGAAAAAACACAACTGAGTAATGAGAGATCTTTACATTCAATATGGCTTCAGTACAGCTAGTCTATCTCAGCTTATATAGCACTTATTTTGTGACACTGTCCTAGATACTTTACATATAGCAATTCATTTAAAATTCTTAACAATCCAGAGAGAGAGAGACGTTATTATAATCTCTTTTATAAAAGAGAATGAGTTACACACAGGCTAATTTGCGCAATGTCCTACAGATAGCAAATGCTACAGCTGATTTTGAACCCTAATAGTCTCTATTCAGACTTTGCGCTCTTAACCACCATATTATACTGTCCTTCCAGTAGTTTACATTCCAGAAAAAAAAAACATGTCTTGAGACATTAATCTCCCCAAATCTCACATAGCACAATTCCCTACTTCTAACAGAGACCTGTTACCTTCCTCAGTCTGAGTTCATATGAGTATTTTGCAATAATTTTAGAAATGTTAAGATGAATCCAGAATTTATTGAGCTCTTCATATGTGCTTTGTCC